TTCTTTTTTATATTTTTTACGTATAAAAACGTAAAAGATATAAAAAAGAAGTTTAGCGAATATGGTGATTTTTTTAGGTTTCAGCTAGGGGTTCTCTTAGTAAGAAATAATTTCACGTGCATCTAAACAAGAAAGACAATTTTTTGTCTTGGTCATCTTATATATCTAAACATCATTAAACTCTAGTAATTACGAACTTGTAATTCATCACGGCGTCGCCGTTTTTTTTCTCAGTATTTTGTTGTTGTTGTTAAGCGTAAAGCTCTGGCCGCTTCAGGTATCGAAATTCGAATTTTGGCCTTCAGTCTTAACAGTGAGCCACCGTGGGGCGGCGTTTTTTACTTGTCACGAGTGTAAAATAAATGTCGTTATTTTACGTTTTGAAACTGCCGCAGTGTATGAATGGTACTTTTTGTGCGCTTGCTGATACTTTTGTTGTGTGCAGTAGCATAGAAATAGTAATTTCTATGGGAACTAATTATGACAGGGTGATGTTAAAACGTGAAATTGTACGAAATCTGTGAACTAATCATCAGCTTTTTAGAAAATTCAGGAAGCAAATACTACAATAATATTCATGGTGAGTAAGATTTGAAAAGGAAAAACTGAAACTATAACAGATATTAGGTTTTCAAAAAGCTTAAAAAATACTTGTTCAAACCACTTGTCCGACTACTCTTCCCTTAAAATTACAACACGTATTCGTGTGTGTGTGTGCTCCCACATACGCCCAGAGCGAGTGGTCAATATACTGATAAGATAGCGAACTTGGAAAAGTATTAATGAGTCAGCAGTTAACGTTCAAGTTATCATTCGTGATATACATCCGTATCATATGTTTTCTACCTGCTTTATTGGTATAGTTGATTTTTTTTTTCAGTTATTTAGTTTCCGTGCTGAAAAGGCAGCAGTACGTGGTCTACAAAGTCGTTAAGATTACTTTGTTCGCGTTACTTTTTCTCTATTCTATGCAATGTCTATTCTACCCAAGAGAATATTGCACTAATATATAGCTTACCGATGAAAAGGGCTGGCTCTATAACATCCTTTGCTGACCAAATTTGACGTTAACTAAGCGTAACAGCCGACCAATGCTGTGAGAAACAAAGGTCACGAAATGACGTCGTCGAGTGAACAAATAAGGAGGTTTACCTGTTGAATTCCATTGTGCTTTCTACTAGGAGATTGACGTGTGAGGGTACACTTCGAAAACACTGTGTTTTAGTTCTACGGAGATTAATCCTGAGAGAGAGATAAAGCTGTAGAGTTAAGCACAGCCTAGTAGAAGCGATTGTCTCGAGTGTGTAATTACTTATGCGGCGTTTTCTTTTTGTTTGTCAAATAATAAAGATTTTGTTTATTTTTACCATCTTTGTTCAATCTCATTATTTTACACACACACTAGGAAGACTCAGTTAAATTAGCTAATCGAGATATCTTTCGTTATTTCTTGGACGAATCTGTAGTTATTTGTAGATCCCTTTATCTGATGGTCTGGTCTGGTGGCTAGGGCGCTTGACTTGCATTCTGTGGGTAGCGAGTTCGAATCCCGTCCCCAAAATGCTTGCCCTTAAAGCCGTGAGGGCGTTATAATGTGAAGGACAATCCAACTTTTCGTTGGTAAAGAGTATCCCAAGAGTTAGCTTGGGTTGTATTCACTAGCTGCCTTCCCTCTAGTCTGTCACTGCAAAATTATGGTCGGCTAGCCCGTATGGCCCTCGAGTAGCTTTGCGCGAGATTCAACAAAAACAGAAAGTCTATTTGATACTTGTCGGGAAATCAACTGTTGTTATCCGAAAACACCACACATTCGAATTAGATCAGCTATTAGCTGAGTTAGTTAACGTTGTAAATTATATTAGCTCATATGAACAGTCAGTGTTGCAAATTTCGAATTACAAAATTTCATAGCTGTGACAACTACTGTTACAAAGTACATTAGTACATAGCTGGGACAATTACTGTTACAAGTCATGACCGTAACTTTTAGTGTTCTAAGTTACATCAGTTTTTAGCCATGCGAGAAATTATTTCATCATATCATCAGTTGTTGTTTTAAATTGTCTTTATGTCATAGCCAAGACGCTAATATTTGAAGTCGTGTATATTAAGAAGTCACTTGTTTCGCTATAGATCGTGTACTTTTATGAATTGCGGCTATGTAACAATTTTCCCCTTTAACCCTTTTTTTATTTTATTTTCCTAGACGTAAGCAAACACAACCTTCAACAAGACTGGAGACCAAGTGTGACAGTGACGTCGCCAAGCTCACCAGAAACTGTAAGATTACGGCCTCACTCGCCAGTTGTTGGTGGTAGAATACAGGTATTACACCTTTTAAATTTGGCTTTTGTTATAGTTGCAAGCTGTTAGGGTTAACAAAATAATATTAATGGGATAAAGAAAAACAAGTTTAAGTTCCAAAAAAAAAGAGGCATTATTCCATACATTAGAACACAGTTTTTGCATTATTAAGTTTAGTTACGAAACGTCTTCTTAATTGATCGTGAAGATGCAACAGATATATAAACTTTGTATCGCCTTTTGTAATGCTGGGAATGTGGTTTATATAAAGAATTTTGAAGAGTACCATCATGATTTAACTTTTTAATTCCAGCTTAAACTGTGGTATGACTCTCAGGCTTTACAGCTTGTTGTCACAATAATCTGTGCTGCAGAGCTTAGACCCAGGGTAAGCCAACTGACCCGCAATCCATACGCCAAAGTGTTTCTTCTTCCTGACAGAAGGTAAGAGCTAAGTTTAAAGTTGTACTGTACAAGTAAATAGTTTTTACTACTTTAACTTTGGGACTATTTTGGCAATAAATGTCTTGCGGGGAATTTACTTATTATTATTTTACTTTATTAACAGCATCAATGGAACTTTCATTCATATACACATTTTATAAATAAAAAAAACGGCGATAAAATGCTATTTCTAAACACTGATTAACTATACCTTTTAACTGGTAAAAATTCAGTTATGGCGATTAGCTTTATTAAAATAAACGCATAATGTTTCACCCAAACAAAACATAATCAAATGATTCATTTAGAATATATTACATTTTTTTAATATTAGCAAAAAATCTTACTGGCTGTAATTTAAGTATTCTTTATTTCTTTAATAGTGTTTTTTTTTTTTTTGATAATGATATTAAGAACGAGTGGTGATAATTGTTGTTTCGGTTTTATTATATTTTTGTATTTTGTAGTGTTATAAACAACAAGTACTGTGGGCAAGTGTTGTTTGATATGATACTATTAGTAGAAAAACGTTTGCTATTCTTCTTAATTGTACCGTGGCGAAGTTTTGTTTGATATCATAATTTTAATGATAAAAATTGTTTTTTATTTATCTTTTTGACAATAGTACTGTGGGCAAGTGTATTTTACATGATAGTATTGGTGATAAATATTTTTGTTTATTTTATTGGTAATAGTACCGCGGGCAAGTGTTGTTTTATACAACAGTACAATAATAAAGATGTTCGTTTTTCCTTGGCAATGATACTTTAGGCAAGTGTTGTTTTATACGACAGTACAGTAATAAAGATGTTCGTTTTTCCTTGGTAATGATACTTTAGGCAAGTGTTGTTTTATACGACAGTACAGTAATAAAGATGTTCGTTTTTCCTTGGCAATGATACTTTAGGCAAGTGTTGTTTTATACGACAGTACAGTAATAAAGATGTTCGTTTTTCCTTGGCAATGATACTTTAGGCAAGTGTTGTTTTATACGACAGTACAGTAATAAAGATGTTTGTTTTTCCTTGGTAATGATACTTTAGGCAAGTGTTGTTTTATACGATGTTCATTTTTATCTTTTTGGGTAATAGTATTGTGGGCAAGTTTGGTTATATTAGTGCCTTTTTTCTTCTTCTTTGTTTCTTGTTAAAATCAGTGAAAAAAGCAAGAGAAGAACTAAAACTATCGCCAATACGAACGAACCTCGATGGAATCAAACGTTCGTTTATTCTTCCTTGAGACGATCGGACTTAAAAACCAGAGCATTGGAAATCACGGTATGGGACTACGATCGTTATGGCGCTAACGATTACTTAGGAGAGGTGAGTATCAAGTTTTGATACTTCAATTTATAATTGAACTTAAACTCAGTGGCTGGTTGAGAAAAAAAAAGATATACTTATAGATGTATTATTGATTGTTGTGAATTTTATTATTCTTTTATTTTCAAGCAATTGTTCTGTAATCTTATTAATGTTTAAACTGAGACACGTATTATTATTATTGTCTTTGAATTACAAATGAAAGAATAACTATAATATATCAATTATATAATTTAATATCAGTTGTTGTAAACTTTCTCTTACACGCGAAAGGACTTAATACTAAACACATGATACTAGTATGAAAGTAAAGCTAGTAAGAACGTAGGTACAACTGGATAGTTTTGGAGCCACGTGACGTGCAATTTTTAAGACTTACGTGATTAATATCTGCCTCTGTATTTTTCAACTTCCAGTTTTGTACCTTTAATGAGGAGGCCAGGCGTTACCTATTAATTAGTGTGCCCAGACTGTAATTTCGAAGTTTCGTGGTTCGCATCCCTTTACCACAAAAATACACTCCGCATATGGGGCCCCGTGTGAGCTATAAGAGTGACGGTCAAATCCCAACATAACATCAGACAAGAGTAGCCTAAGAGTTCGCGTTGGGTACCGTTCACTAGCTGTCTTTCCTCTTATCTTTCAGTTCAAAATAAGAGAGCGCTATGCCCTCAACTTGTGTCATTTTTGTGCAAAAATTCAAAGAGAAAAAATAAATAAATTGGAAATAAGCCTTTAAGCAATAGTACTACCTTTCTAATATAGTGCGTATGATGATATATCCAAGTGGCGGCGTTTTGGTGAAGAAAATTAGCAAATCTGGTGATGTCTACTTTTGTAACATTCTCTTTGTATTTTGTTACATCTTCCTTCTATGAACTCTAAGATACGCGACCATTATTTGTTGAGATTCGTAACTCTTTGAACTGTTGTTGCGTCTTAAGTTTGCTTTACAAGTGTCGTGTTTTTAAGGAATATTTACAGATTATAATTTGTCTATCTTCCCCAAAGTCTGTCGTTATCTTGCGTGAAAACTTTGGTTAACTAAATTGTGTGGTTTTATTTTAGCTACATATAAATTGTTTTGCTCAAGTAGAACATGTGCTAATAAAAAATTTTCACCTTATATATATATATATATATTCAGGTTGTGGTCGACCTTTCATCAACACCTTTAGACAACAAAGGTCAGTGGTATTTCCTGGTCAGCCATGAAGACACACTGAATGCTCAACTGGTCAGTCCTCTTTATTTCTATCTCATAATTTGCTGATCTATTTATTTGACATGTCTAGTTTCTCCAGTAACAGTGCACCAATTAACTTGTTCATAAATGTAACTCAAAAAGCTATACATTCCCACGTATATAAAGTAAGAACAACCCCCATCGTCAGCAGTTTAAATTAGAATTGACAGATAACTGTGGTAGAATATTATAATATTTCATATGTACGGAGTATCTAGCAGTTAAAAGGTTAGATCTTATTATCAGACGTAGATATGAAAAAAATGTTCCAGGTAAATCTGAAGTATGATGATAGTTTACAAATTCTTAGAATCTCCTCTAAATTTCATTATTGCTATATTTGTTCATTTTGCAGTCTTTAATATTTATTATTATTATCATAATTAGCACAATTAAAATTTAATTTATAGTAAGCAAAAGTTTTACGTACTCCATATAGATTTTGCAAAATTTACCAATCTGGATGAAATGAAATAGTAAAAGTACAGAGTTTGAGTACGTTATATTAAAACGATTTTGGAGCTTGACAATAACCCTGTAACGTAGTTTTCATTGCAAAAAGCCCCATCGTAAGACTGTTATGTTCAAAGCACATCTCTCCTACCTGCAGGCTTTTCATAATACATAAACGAGGAAGGCGGTTTCTCCGCGCCCGTTTTCGACAGTCCGATTGCTTCATACGAAACAGCTTGAATTTCCGTTTCACTCTCAGGCTGCTTGCGGTTGAACAGATATTTCGCGGAAGCAACCTGTGTACACGTGAATTATGTTGTGCAAAGTTGCCTGGGGCAGATGAATGATTTTTGCTAGTCTTTTTGTGTTTGTGGATTCTTACCTGTTAAAATACGCCATATTTTGTTTACTACGGCAAGGGTACGACTTCTTTCAGGTCTCTTTGTAGATGGTCCTGAAATATAAATTAATCCACATTCCTATTTTACAGTGCCATTAAGTACAAGGCCTATCCCCGTCTTTGAAATCCCAAATCTCAACACATCTTTACGATCTAAGTATATGAATATGTTACGTCGGAAATGAGTATTATATACCCTCACAAAATCGATCAGTCTTCGGTAGCATTACACTGCTTACGAACACCAAATAATGTTGAAATGTAGTTCTGATACATTTCGTTCCACCGCAACTTCATGTTGGCTTTGTCTGTCACGTGCCTTACTGATTTGCGTATTCAAAGTCGTTTTTATATATAGTACTCAACCTTCTATATAGCTGCCTGCCTTTTATTTCTATGTCCTTTCGCTTGTATACCTATACAGTCATCCACTCCTACATCTGTCTGTCTGTCCAGAGATTTACGAAAGTCTGTTTGTGTTGCTAATTCAGAGACGACAAGCAATGTTCTTGGACACTGATGGAGGATCTGGCACGTTGGCTGACCACCTGTCTCCGCTATCAAATGTCTCCAGCCGTCTATCTGATGGTGACATTTCAGACTATGATGATGGAACAATAGTTGGGGGTTAGTTCGAAACCTATTTTTCACTTAACAATACAGAACATAACGTGGTGGTTATAGGCTAACTGATACACCCCAATTTGCTCCAGAGATGTATAACATGATATTTAGTCCATACAAATGTTTCTTGTAAACATCATAACTGTATAATTTTTATCTGATTTCTATACCACAGTGAACATAACTGTGTAAAATGATGCCTGTTAACAACGTTATTAACTAAACATTACCTTACCACTTCATGGACACAAAGCTCTTACATGACCCCTTTGTTTCTGTATTTTTTTTTGTTTCAGAAGTCCACGTAGGTAGCGGTGTATTTCATATTATTTCACAAGTGAATAAAATATTACATTTTACAGGTAATCCCTAATCGCAACATGTTATTTTGCCCCAGTTTTCTAGCGTAGTATTTGAATTTTTGACCCATAATACATTTTTTAAGGTCGAGAAAGTTATATTTACAACTTTTTTAATACAAGATGAAAT